AGCAGGGAGCCCGATGCGGGACTCGATCCCTGGACTCCAGGATCATGACCTGAGCCGAAGGCAGTCACTTAACCAACTGAGCCACCCAGGCGCCCGAAACTGTTCCATTTTTAAGACTTCTACGGTTAATCTCTGCACAGAGATCCTCCTGGGGAGCTAGAATAACACGGGATATTATAAAAGTTGGCACCGAAGATGAGCTTAGAACAGTCACGGTCTTTATTCCTGAACCTTCATCCCGGACCCATCTCTACAGACGGACTCAATTCTTCTGGACCCAGGAGAGCCATCCTCCCTCCTCTCCCCGCAGCTGGGAATTCTCCCGTGGGGATCCTGGCTTCTCACGGCTCCTGGGGGCCAGCCCGTCCATCCATCTCTCTCCTCAGGGTCACGTCCAGAACATGAGCTGGCAGGAGGGACGGGATCACGGGGATGATGCTAGCCTGCTAGTCCGCTCCACTTTCAGGAAGGTAATGCTAGATGCAGATTCTGAGTCAGCCGGTCTGGGAGCCAAGAGCCTGCCTCTCTAGCAAGCCCCATGGCAGGCACTGCTCCTGCCAGGCCTTGAGCAGGTAGGAGGCTGGCCACAGCTCTGGGACCTGCAGAGCCCCCACCTCCCAATTGTCTGCACCTCCAGGGGCTGCTCAGCTGCACTTTAACCTTACAAATAACACTGACAGTTTTACCAACAAGAATGTGTTCATTGGAAAACAGCAGAGAATTGCAGCCCATGAAAAGGAGCCTGCAGGAAAACTTAAACCATAGGCAAGTCAGGAGAACAGAGCAGAGGAGGCCCTTTTATAGAGGAAAGGGGGCGTGGGGTTGTTGTAAAAACAGTCCATTGGAGTAAACTGGGAGCTGGAAGTGGAGTGGCCTCTCACTGACTGGGCTGCCCCTGGGAGAGGAAGAAACCTTCCTTCCTCAGCTGGGTCTGCAGGTGCAGGGGAAGGACAGGACTGAGGGCTCCCCCTGCTGGCCTCCAGACTCCGCTCGGAAGGAGAGTCCTTTTGTGAACTTTCACATCAATGCGCACACGTGAACTTACCAAAAAGGCAGAGGCGAGGAGCTGGTTAGACCCGACAGTGTTGCAGCCTGAGCTGCAAGGAGGAGCTGTGAGCACAGACCCCTGGTGGCAGCAGGGGCCCGAGCACACACACCATGGGTGCACAGCCCCCGTCACAAGAGCCCCAGGAGCAGGCGCGGGCAGCAGCTCCTGGCACAGGCCACCTGGGGAGCTGGGCAGCACCTCTGGGGAGCCCCAGGCTGGGACCCAGTGGATGCCGTGCCCTCCCGCTGTAGGGAAAGTGCTATACCCAGCTGGGCCGCATTTTCATTTTCCTGCTCCTGGATGGAGGCGGTCTCCACAGAGCCCCAGGGACCAGGGACGGGGCCTGGCAGGAAAGAGCAGCTAGTCTCCTCCATGTGGCCCTGCAGAGCTGGCACCAGAGGTCTGAGTGAGCTCCCTGAGAGCACCGTCCAGTCCCAGCCCCAGGGATCCCTGGGCGTCCCCCTCCAAGGTCAGAGTGCACAGAGACTCCGGGGGCAGGCGGCCAGGGCTGGGGGCCATGCAGGCTGGGGCGTGGTGAGCACTCCAGCAGCCCTGCTCACTCATCCCCCCAGCACAGAGAGGCCAACAGGCAGGTGGCCCCAATCCCTCTGCATGACCCAGGATACAGTATAAACACTTTCAATTCAGAGTTCAGATTTAATCCATACTTTTATCGTAGAAAACCTCATTTTTTCATCTCTAAGTCTATCATCAAAACTGTATTAGAAATATAAATATCGGTCACACAAAGTTCCAGTCTATAAAAACGACCCCATTCACCTCTCCAGAGAAGCGTTTCCAACAGTAGACGAGCAGCGTTCATTCGGCCCACACCACGTGGGCCCCGGGCCGAGTGCCAAGCCGGTGCTGGCCCGGGAGCGGGCGACCGGCCCCGGCGCTGCAGCCGTGTTTGGCGCCTACAGGAAGTCGCTGTCTCTGCACCACCCTCCCACTCGCTTCCCGGGCCCAGGCCACGGGGCTCCGTCTCTTCGGGGGTCTTAACCGAAACAAGGGAACGTGGCCGGCCCTACATCAGCTGCCCATCCCCGTCCCCCTGTCCTGTGCTGAGCAGGTGCAGAGTGTCGTCATCGGACGCGTCCGCTTCCTCGTCGCTTCCCAGCGGTTCTGAGGGGCGTTTCAGGCCCCGCTGCTTGGACACAGCCAGAGCGTACTGGATGTTATAGCGGTTCCAGTCACACCTGTTCAAAGTGCACAGGAGTCCCGTCAGGAAAAGCGACAGCTTTTCTCTCCTATCAAGACTCTGGCTCACCTGGCGCCCAAGCACCTTCTCTGTGACCCCGAGAGCGACCAGCCACGGAGACCCACGCGGCCGCCCCAGTCCCACCAGAGCCCGAGGAAGGGGCTGCTGCACAGCTTCACGGCCATGAGCAGAGAGGGACACCTGGGCTCAGTTCATTCCCCATGTGAACAAAGTAAAGAGAAAAATCACACCCTCGTTTCCCGTAGGAAACCACCCGGTAAGAACGAGCTAAAGGTAAAGGACTAACGAGGAAACCATCGTCCCTGCAGGAAACCTCAACAAAATCCAGGTTTGGCAACATAACTAGAGCCCCCCCCCCCCGCCCCCGGATTAATACATAACAGCTAGCTGCGCTCTATGCATCAGCAGCAAATCACTACGCGCAGGAGTCCCGGGAACGACGCATTGACAGGAATGCCAAGTTACAAGGAACCAGTCTCACGGGAGGCACTCGGTCTCTCAGACTGAGCTCTGCAGACTCACGGAGGCCTCAACAAAGAGCAGGCCCTCCCGGGCACATGGCAGAATTGACGCAGGCCCCCCACACCCCCACGGTGTCCCAGCGGGTGGTCAGGACTCTCAGAAGAAAAGCCTCCCGGAGGAAGGGCTTGTTCTAGGCTCCTAAAGACTGAGAAAGCCATCAAGGACAGAACAGGCCTCTGCCTACGGACACTGGGCAGACACCCGCAAGGGCAGAGAACACGCCTCTGGAGATGGAGTGGGGACACCTGGACACGGGCCCCGAAGACAGCCCGGACACCCCAGGCTCTCTCTGCCCACTGCTTTCACTGGGACAGCACTCTCTTTTCAACTCCCAGCCACGCCTGAAGCTGGCCCACCTCGAGTCCCACCGTGGGGCAGCCCCCCGTGTGGAACCAGCTGGGGATGGGGCCACCCCGGCCCTGCCCACCAACCATGCCGGCAACACGTACAGCTTGGAGACGTCATCCAAGTGCCGCTGGATGCTCTTCTGAAGGAACTGAACGGCTGGCAGCACCTTCCCCACTCTGCAAAGGAGACCCGCCTCAGTGCACAGCCTCAGCCAAACGCCACGCAGCCCCTCTCATGGGCGTGCACACAGCTCCCCCTCTGACCTACACAGCCCAGCCAAGCGGCAGGACTCACAGCCGACCGCGCAGGGAAGCACATCTTACCTGGACTTCAGCTTCTGCCCGTGCACCAGAAGCAATTTCTGAGTCCATATGAGGTAGAATTCCAGGTGGCGAGACACTTCAAAGGATGAAGCTAAGAACTCCAGCACTTTCTCCACGTACAACTCAGGAAGCGAGGAGCTGACAACTTCGACTGTGGGAAAAGGAGAAAACTGGGCTCACTTTGCAGAGAACTCTCCCATCAGGAGAAAAGATGAGGACGGCTATGCAGGGACCTGAGACCCTAGCCGCCAGGCACAGACGCGGGTGCTCACGGCCCCTCCTGGGCCCCGTCCCGGCGCTCACCCTCGTCCCAGGGCACCGACTCCAGCACCTCCTGCAGCAGCTTCCTCTCGTTGAGCCGGAAGGCCAGGAGGATGGCCCTGGTGTAGTCCTGCTGGCGCAGGGCCGCCCGAATCCGCACGGGGGTGACGCCGGTGTCCAACTCAAATGGGTCAAACAGCATCTGGGCGTCCAGGGAGTAGACGACGAGCCCCTCGGTGGTGGTGGCCGCCCAGCAGCGCCCTGGGAAACCAAGCCGTCGAGGGCCTTCCTAAACACCGATTTTCACTTTTCCCC